AATTCAATGGAAACCTAAGGTCCTTTCATACCATTGTGGGAAAATTCAACTGCCAATTCCCTTATCACCTTAAACTAAATAGGGTGAATATACCTCATATAAATTATATACTAGCAGTCTCGAGAGCCTAATTAAAAATCCAAAATATTTAATGCGGTCGATTGCTATGGCAAATACAACTTAGCCGCACCGAAAATCCCACCATATAATGTGATATAAGAAAAAAGGCCTGGTCATGCTTGAAATTCTCATCTGCCCTGTAACCCAAGGTAACTCGTGGTGTAGTGGTTAAAATGTCGAGGCAATGCGCTTAATTGTCATTGTTCGAGTCCCACTGGGAATGCCGTTAAGACTTAGGCGAAGTCGAAACTGTGGTCCACTTTGGATGATAATACCTTTTGGGAAGCAAAGCTACATGAAATTCATTTGAAAAATAAGGTCTACTCATACCATTGTGGAAGAATTCATCTACCGGCCCCTTATCACCTCAAACGAAGTAGGATGAGAACAGCTCATATTTTTTAACCATTGTTTCGGCTCAATTTTTAGAGAATTTTGAATGATAAGGGAATATGTTAATAGGCAGTAAACTGATAAGTGGAAAAATAAGAAAGCACATAGATACGTAGATAGAGGGGCAAATAGATTGGTTGGTTTATTTGTCGGTGATTATACACAATAGCGTTATGGACACAATATGTAGCCAATATGACTTGGATGTGGTGGCAATTCGATCAACACAACCAATTGTCATTTTTCTCAAGCCAAATCTCCTAGACGCACTGCTAAAAGTTTCATGTTAGAAAACAGATATATGCTTCGATAAAGTATTTATTGTTAGAGTTTATAAATAGAAGGCACCTGCCAAGGAGACAGAATTTATCACCACTATGTGTATTTAGTTAGTGTTGGTAGGGCCAAATTAGCAGATGGGACTACATAATTAGAAGTTCTGTGAGAACTGGAATCCTATATCTCATACCATAAGTGTATACCTATAAACAATATACACAAGCGAACACACGAAGCAACGAATTACACGCACCCATTTTATCCACATGAATGAACGAATGTACCTGGCGGATAAAAACTAGCCTCAAAGTGAGGTACCAGAGTTTTCGCTTTGTGCACGAGGGTTGGCTATGAAACCTATAGATGTGCGATGGGAGGGGCTTGACTAGTCTGTCCAAGTGACAAAGTCACTTGTACGAATACCATCAAGCTGGCCGATTAGAGGAAAATGATACCTGGATAGCAGCGATAAACAAGCTACCGAAGGGAGAGAAACAGCTGTTCAAAAAATCTGAATATCTAGACCGTTGCTTGCTATCAGTTGTTCAGACAAGAAATGTAGTCATCCGAGGAAATCAAAGGATTCGTTACTTAGTTTTCTTGTTAAAGCAGTCGGCAGACAATAGCCTGCCTGCGCGACAGATGAACTCATAATAAGGCCATCCTAAATTCATAAGTCACCTCTTGGACACATTTGACACTCGCAAATGGAAAATGCAAATGGTTTGTTACATGTGTCATGTGTTTACGCGTGATAAAGATTTTTTCACCACTAAACCTGATTTTCTCAACGAACTTCTTCATGTACACTATGTGAAGTCGTCCATCACTCAACATATTTAGTTTAATTATTTAAATTGGCATATTCTTATGGAATACTTAACTAATTTATCAACATCCTTTGCTTCTAGTATATCTCTTAGGCCTAATGCTCATGAATTCATGCTTCGGTCCGCGTCGAAGTAACTACACGTGAAGAAGGTGTATAGGGAAATTGCTTGCAATTAAAGGGCGGGAGCCTCAGTTGCTTACTCTGACTCAGAGCCGAAATGGCAGTGGTTACACGTAGGCAACCCTTACGATAAGACTAGTCCAAGAGAGGTAGCCAAACGCCAGCCCATGTAATGTCGTCATGCGCAGGCCATGCGAATGAGTGACACAACTACGAAGGGCCTAACAACATTGGCATTCGGGTTTTAATTAAACAGACATATTAGTCCATCTGGCTTTGTCTACCATTTTCTCAGTCTGTCGGCTCCTTGATTTATTTACTTATTTGTTTACATACCCGTAGGCCTTATACGCCTGGCTGCCTGTGCATCTGTGGGCCTAGCAATTAGGGCTTGGCCACACGCTCAATGTGCCTCTATATCGTGTTGGCCGAAGAAACTTAGTATATTTCTCACTGAGTATGTACTACAAAGACTGAAAAACAGGCTTGCTCAAAAATCACAGCCTCAGTCCAGCTAGTAGATGATCTTCATTAGCAGTACATAAAAATGATTTATGGGACTTTTCGCATTCTCAAAACAGCAAAAGTTGTATGAACGAGGGGGATTTGAACAGGGTTCAAAGGTTAATGGCCAAATTGAGGGACACAAAATTCAAATTTTCCCTTTCCGATCCGAGAAAAGAGGCCTCAAGCCAAGGATTCTCTCCAACAGCCGCATTCGATATGGTTAATAGGGGCATGGCAACTAATAAGAAATGACCACTTTCAAATTATGAGGTGGATAAAGTATGATTTTATTTAATGCGGTCTTAGTATGACAATGATAAGAGGAATGTATGACTTTTCTCGCCCTAGTGTTGCCTAAAATGCAAGCAGAGATATACTTCGACCAAAAAGAAGGCCACATCAACTTGATCGTCATATCTACGAAGTGAGGAAGAATGTCTGCCAGATTCCTTCTACTGAAAAAATGTAAAAACCAAATATAATATGTATCGGACTCACAAGGCAAAACCCGACGTCCTCATTACGCCTGCTCTCCTATCTACCGAAAAATTTCCCTCTATTAAAAGTATTATTTCGCTAGTGCCAAATTGAAATGCTTTCCGAAGCTTGGGATGTTTTCAACGCAAGAGTGACTCTCATTTGAACTCTTATGCCTTTCTCATGCGCTCTGTGTGCAGTTTGGCACCTATGGCACCACACAGCATCACCAATTTAGCCCAAATAACCTAGGATTTCACATTCAGAATTCCAGTCAACTATTAAACTTCACAAACAATTATGCTTTAGGAGATATCCATTATCCTTCTTCTCTCCCTCAATTCTCTCTCTCTATATATATATATATGACCCTCTCAAAAACAGTCAAGACTCAATTTACTAAAGCGTCAGACAATGGTCTAGAAGCCATCATCCAGTAAGCCATTAGGCATCACTTAACTTCAAGAGCATCTCCACGAGTGTATTTAGTAAATTCTAGCATTATGTGCATTTTGACAGTATGTATAAAACTGGATGCATTTTAGACATGTAGACTCATCACAGATGGTCTATCTCCGACCAATAAACGGCTGTTTTTGACTGTTTATACAGAGAATAGTCAAAGTATGGCCAAAATCGTCACCTGGGTTCGACTCAACACTGGTTCTTACAAAGTCCACAACACTTGGCCGTTCCAACAAAGTTGTGTAAGGTGTGACTTCAGTCCTATTTTACTTCTGAAAACTCGAGACTGTAAAGAAGAGAGAATTCATTTGAGGCTATCACCATGTGCGAACATATGCACGATTTAAAACCTCTAAAAGTTCATGAGTAACCATCTTCAAGGGGTATTATCGAATACATATATATGGTATAATATCCACTAAAGACACGCAAGTAAGCCAAGTTTGCGCACCCTAAACAGTCAATCAGGTTGCTGGGCGCTACGGAACAGTCGCTTTACTAGTAGTCATGATCCACAGCTCCAAGCCACAGGATACAGGCCACTAAGCCGGACATAAGTCTGTCTATTAGCAGGAGCGGCCAACGTCCAGGGCCCCTGTTGGCCGCACATGTAGGATCAGAAAAGAGGTCCTATCACTCTGCTGACCTTTGACCTGCGTCCTCCGAGGGGGGCAGACGGAAAGAGTAGACAGGTCAGCGGAAATAGGTCGAGCTAATCAAGCCGGAATTTGCATGCGCGAGCAGGTTACCTCAAGCGTAACATTGTTTGTTCTATAAGCCATGCAGAAAGATGCTCATAACCATATCAGTGCCTTGTGCGCGAAGGCTGAGGGTACTATGGGACAGGTGAGAAGTATCCGAGCCTATGCATGGCAAACAGTCCCGTCCTGGGTCAGAAGCGTCTGCACTAGGATGATATAAGTGCATGCGGTTGTGGGCATCGATGCACAAGCTCAACGGATATTAGCAAGAGTACAATATTCAAGCTTGTCCTAAGTTAGCATTGTGTACTCCTAATACAAGTTATGGCCATTGATATTTTCATATAGTGAAGAATACCCAAAAAATCAGCTCATATATGCCAGAGGGCTTCCTACTTCCACTAATACTTCAACAAATACTGCTACTATCAATGCTTCTATGGTTACTTTTCATTTTACCTACTATGACTGCGAGAAAAATAAAATTGTATGCTGAGGCAGTAAAATCCTACCAATTATCGATTGGCTTGCTGGGACCAGCGTAGTTGGTGACATGCACTCTAAACAGATTTCGTTGGTCTGGCATGCAGAAAACTGAGTTTCGTCAAGCCCAAACAGCCAAAATCTTGCTGTCTCCTAAGCCAAGGTCATAGAAGAGTATGAACACTGGATGGTGTCCATAGAAGTACTAGACCATTCGTCCGATCCCGTGAGCTCTATCAGTAGGAAAATAGCGCAAGTTAGTATAGTCTAGGACGAACCTGGACAGAAGTCCGGTTAACTGTTACAAGAATCGACGATGCTCTTGATAGGATTCCAAAGTCAGTTGTATCCTTAACCTCGCAATAAGGAGTTCCTGCTGCGGCGTCATGACTGTCGCCTTTGTGTACACCTGCTTAGGAGGATGATAGTAGACTGAGAGAAATGCTGCCCACAGTAGATTGAGGAGAATACCTACTTCCTGTATCGGATTTCCCTGCGCCATGCATTCCAAACGGCCCTTCCCGTCCTGACTCGGATCAAGTTTCCGTTTGGACCTCATCAACACCCCTAGCGGGATTAAATCTGTGGATGTAGGGCTTATGATTAAGGTAGTTGTTCAGTGTTATCCAATCGAGCTAATTGGTCCGGTTTTGTCAGACTGAAGCAACTGCATAGAGTATCGGATATCAATATGATCTTAGACAAATAACCCAAAATGTATGCTTTTAATGAGTTTGCAGCATGATTCAGATTCCTTTTTCAAAATGGGTTTTGCGAAGCCCAGCCAAGAGCTTTACTTCATTAAAAGAAATAACTGAATTAAAATACGGTAAACATTTTAGGTTTAAAATTAACCCCAAATGGCCCCCTGAACCTTTTAGATTATTGAGCAATTAAGTAATTATGATATCCGACACTTTGCAAGATCTTCAAACGAGTACTCAGTCCGCTCTAACTTTATGGGAAAAGATCAGACTTTCGGATGCCAACTCATGAAAACATGGGTAGTATGGATAATATCCTTTCACGTAGAATGAAAACGACTATAGCATGGCCAAATAAAGCCGGACAATATGAAGCCAGGATAATATGTTGTGCCAGCTACCGGTGCATGGACAACTCGGAATCCGTTCCAGGACTTATTAAGGGCCAAATGAGCTGAAGTTTGAATCCTTAATGAAGGCTGTGCACCAGAAAAAAGTCCTGTTGCGGTAATATTTAAGCAG